TCTTGGACTTGCAATAATTCGGGCCCACTAATCTTGGGCTATTGGGTCTAAATAATTTAGTGGGCTCAAATTAGCCCCTCTTACATTTGCCCCTTGCGTGTATGAGAAATTTTTAAATTTCTCAAACATGCATACTGTCATTTCTTCGACCCTGCTTCGCATCACGTTCCCAAAAAAAAAAAAGTTTTGTCACGACAGAGCCTATGGTAAAGCTGATGACGCACTTCATTTTACAGAAAAAATTGACAAGCAAAAAATTTTTTTTTTTTGTACTCTTTTTTTTTTTTTTTTTTAATGGGAGAGCTTTGCCATTATTCTATTCTCTAGCCATTTTGCCTTCTTCTTCACCCAATCTCTTATCTCCATCATCTCCTTTGTTGTTGTGTTCCTAAGTTGAGATTATTGAAGAATCTAAGCCTCTCATCATATTCTAGAGAATTCGAAGTTATTCTTCAAGGATCTTTGAAGATCTTCGAATTTTCCAACTCCTTTCTTGAACCCTCTCCTACAGTACTACTATTAAATTGTTTAAGATTATAATTTATTTTCAATATATCCTTTTTTTTTTTTTGGTCTTGAATTACCCTTTAAGATATACCTAAATAAATTGTAAGTAAAATTAGAAAACTAGAGTTTTTGCTACATTTTCTGTATCCCTTGATGGAGGACCTTTTTCGTAAAGATATTTCTAAAAAAATATCAAATTCAACATTTGCATTATTTGTTAATGCTGCAATCGCCGTATAAGCTTGGGCTGATACTAGAATGTCGTTTAAACTCAGAAAATTATTACATTGGTATGGTATATTACTTGATTGGTGTCCATCTAATAGTATTTTATAATTTAGCTTAGCTGATACGAAAATATCATTAAAGTAAAAAATTATCACATGAGTCTAAAATATTACGTGATTATGTGCCCATTTAATGGTATTTTATAATTTGGTTCTTTCTTAATCTGTTCCATGCTATATACATTATCTAAATATTTCACCAATACTTTTTACTTCCTATGTAGCATGATGAGTTTCACTATTTATTACCAGAATACACATAAGAAGTGAATTAAATGCGATGATAAATAAATATGACGGTAGTGTTTGATAACGTTTACGTTTTTTATTTATGTTTATGTAGAAGTCAGAAAAAAATATATATCAGCTTATTGAGGTTAACTCAAACAAGACCTATAATAGGTTCAGTCCAAACAAATATTACACCCCCATCTATATAAGGGAGGCATTCCAAAAGAGGAGGTGTGTCATATCTCTCTACACTACACACCAACACTCTTCATTTTCTATACTTTTATTCTTTCGATCAAGTGACTAACTTCACTATTGGAGTGTCTCCGGCTGACAACTTCGGTCGGGTGGCGTCAATCATGCTCATCTTTGCGGATCTACAGAGACAAAATTCATCTCTTCGTCGAATCTCTACAATCTATGTGAGAAGATTTTTCTGGTCTCACAGTTTACAAAAATTTTGTAAATTGGTTTTTGTTTATTTTTATAAAATTATAAACTACAAACGCGTTTTATTTGAACAAAATGTTTGAAAATTTTTAAAAACAAAAACTAAAAAATATGTTTGTTCAGGCCTAAAATATTTATATTTATTTTTTTATTATTTATGACAATGGGATCATACACATTATAATTAAAAAAATTAATTGGAAAAAAAATTATTTGAAAAAAAAAAATTGTTAGTCAAATTTTTAAATTTCTGTTTAAAAACCAATGTAAACTCATTTTCCTCAAATTTATAAATTGGGACAACTATTTATAAATCAAAAAAATTATTAAACAAATGTTTATGATAATTTTTAAAAATTTTATAAATATAAATTAAAAATTGAAAACGAAATATTAAAAGTGGTATATGATGTAACAAAACTAATCCAAAAGGAGCTGAATTGGCTCTCTTTGTCAATTCAAATCTAATATCACCAGGATTGGATTTGCATGTTTTGATAAATTGTACTGTAAATGGTGTGATGAGCAAATAATATAAAAAATTACATCTTACATAGTGATGTTAATTAAAAAAAAAAATTACAAGTGCACTTATATAGCAACTCTTTCTTTAACACTAATTTAATTATGTAATTCTCACTAACGTATTGTGAAATTTCTCACCGATACACTCCTTCTTACCTTTTTGAGTTTTCAACCACACAATTCTATTAAGCACTACATAATCAAACATATCAAGATAAAGAGTGTTTAAAGAGACAAAACATAGAACTAATAGATCTGAATCAGCATTCAGTCAATTCAAATCCTTTGTTACCCTATTGTTATTGCTTACCCCTACTATACCTTGACATAATCCTACGGGGTACTGAACAAGTTTAGTTTCCGTGTTTGTGGTAGAATTGAGCACTATTGTACCACATGAGCATCAATGTTGCTTTGCAAATCGATCTACTTTGAATTCGCGCATGTTCGACAGATCGGACAATTGGGTGTCTTGATCAACCATGAATCTATGCATTGAGCATGGAAAGTGTGCTTGCAAATTGGCAACAACTTGCAAAGATCACCCTTCTTGAAACTCTCCAAACACACAACACAATCCATTTCAGGACTATTACTCTTCTCTTCCACTTTGTACTCAAAACACGGCAACTTCTTCGAATCAACCACATCACTCCCATTATCATTAGGTTCTCTATTACAAACCTTCCAAAAAACATAAGCATGAGCAGTGATCAAAGTAGTGCCCATAAAAAGCCATAATCCAAATGTGAAAAACTCCATGATGATAGATTTTCTTCTCTCTCAATCCAAACAGCACAAGGACCTAGAAAACTAGGTTTACCATGGTCTCTTTATTGCATGTGACATTGACAATGATGAATTTTCTTTACTTTCTTAGTGATGATCTCAATATCACATATTGTGTTCTTTTCAATAAAAGACACAACTACAAGGTGAATATTCTACAAGTAGCACCAAGACCATCGATTTAAACTAAAACTATTTTATTTATTTGGGGGAAGCTAGAGGGGGGCTTAAAAAAAACCTTTTATTAATATATGAAAGTTGCATGTGTTTTATGAGGTCTAGCTACTTATAGTTAGTTGTTTCATGTGGGCTTATTCTGATTCTTGGTGTTATTATAGTATGGGCAAATTAAACTTCGCATCTTTGTATTTTACCACCAATCTCAGTTTACCCTATGATCTTTTAATTGTTTCAGTCAACCCCTATACTTCGAGTCAATATATAAGTAAGTCCAGTAGAATAATGTTGTTTAAAAAATTGACAGAGAAACTAAAATGGAGGAATTAAAGTAAGATTTTGGTGAAAGTACATAAGTGTTAAGAATTATAGTTGAAGGACTAAAGTGAAATTTTAATAAAAGTACAAAGATGTTATGTGTAATTAATACTATCATGTGATTGTTCTTCGTAAATTTTCACAATGACGTTATGCAAATGGACCAAATTGCAACTTGACTTGCATTTTAAGAATTAACCAAGATAATCCAAAAGTTAAGAGTAAAGTGAGATTAAATTTAAAATGTAAAGGTGCAAAGTGAAAATTAACTCTCATAGTATTCGCAAATTTTTTTTGGGAAAAGATAATGATATTTTGCCCAAATTCATTTTTAATTTGTTGGGCATTATTGCTAGGATTTGTTGTCTCAATTGGATGGGAAACATGAAGATGATTTGAATCAATCATCTTGCAAAATAAGATGAATAAATTATTTATGTAAAAAATCAGATTAATAGAACATTGACAATCACATGATCAGATCATATTTTTAAAAGAAAGAAAAAATGAATGACAAATGTGATTTTAAAAATAAACTTGTCAATTTTTAAAAACAAATATAATATAATTATATGACTCAACCTCATTTTTAGATGAATTTACAACTTAAACGATTCAGATTATACACAAGGGAGAGAATGACCACAATTCCTAATTTATGGGTAAATGAATTAAAATAATGGATTTTTTTTTTTTTTTTTGGTAGCATATAGCATTCATTTGCTCTTCATCTTGCCAGCAAGGTGACAAACACACACTCCACCTGGGGATGCTGCTGTGAGTAAATTACAGTAGGGTTCAATGGTATCTCAATGGGAGATGTTTTTGAGTTTTTTCAATAATATGAACAGTTCACATTATAGGATTTGTTGAATAGATTATTTATACAAAAAATTAAATTGATTGAATATCTATAGTTTCGCGACAAGAGCACATTTGTTTTTTAAAAATAAATGATTAATATGATTTTGATAATTTTTTTTTAAAACAATTAGAATTGGATCATATGGTTACTTATTTTCAATTAACTTGATTTTTTATAAGAATAATAGACTCGACGAGTCTATTATCGAAAAAATTTTAAAAAATCCTCCACCAAGACAACGTGGGACCTTGTTGTGGCAATAGTCACGACGGTATCCCAAATCAACATTAAAATTAAAGAACATAAAATAATTATGCAAAATAATGTTGATGTATCCCGCATGGGTGATGTGTAGGGGTGTAAATTGGGTCTGACTTGGGCTTGGGCCGGCTCACGAGTCAGAAAATTAGGCCTAGACCCAGGGGGTATTCGAGGGCGGGCCTAGGTGGGTTTGAACATTTTTTTAAAAAAATTCTATTTTTTTTTACTAAAATTTTATTATTTTTCATTAAAAATAACACTGGACCTTGGGTAGGTCAGGCTTTGAGTGGGCCTTGAGAGAACTGATGGGTCGTGCTAAGCGAGGTGAGCCCACGAGCCAAACCGGATTTCAAAATGATGGTCTAGGATCAGGCCTAAGATTGGGCCCGAGCCCGAGCCTAAGCGAGCCGGGCCCACCTCGGACCGCCGGCAAACTTTAGGCCGTCCACGGACCGCAAGCGACTTTTACACCCTAGTGATGTGCAGTAGCTTATCAAAATTTCAAAAATCCCACTTATTATAATAATATTAATTAAAAATATTTTCAAATTATATGAATTCGTCCTCAATATTTTTTTAAAAAAAAATTAATAATAATATTGTATGTTGTAATAAATAATTTTTTGGGTAAATTATAATAACCTTCTTTGATATTTAGAAAAAAAATACGATAAGTCCTATAAATTTGACATAATTAGATTAAGCTCTTTTAAAATTTTATTTCACATAACACTTAATTTCCGTTCCATCAGAAATTTGTTAATCATTTGGATCCAAAATTGATGCTGCTATCTTTTTACATTGAAATGTATATTGTACACTATTTATCTTTGTGTCTTTATACTATTTGCGCCGGTTTCAGTTTCTTTAGACTTAGGTCTTGTTTGGCAAGTGAATTTTTTAGCCGAAAAGTTAAAAAGTCACTAAAAAAATCAAAAAGTCAACAACCTATACCAAAAAGTCAAAGATTTTCTTTTCTATCTACTTTTTGCAAATCTTTTCGTAAAAAATCAAAAAGTCATCCCAAACTTACTAATTTTTTTTACATCATATTTTAGCCAAAAAGTCAAACAGTTACTAAAAAAGTATGTTCCCAAACGAGCCGGGAGAGTAACTATTTTAGTCAAAAAATCACTATAAATGGTCACATTACTCTTTCTATTTTTCTGCACATCTTTTCGTAAAAAGTTAAAAAGTTATTAAAATAATTTTAAAAAAAATTATGTAATTATGTTAAAACTGTGAGATTTAGGCTCTGTTTGGTTGTGAACTGAAATCAATTTTCAACACGTGGGCTCGCGTATGACGTTTGGATACGATGTTCAAAAATTGATTCCGCGTGTTAATCCAAATTACATTTTGAAAATCTGTTTGGTAGCAAATATCTCCCTTTCAACGTTTCTGCCTTCTTCATCATCTCCCAACTTTCACGTGAACCTCATCTACACCTGTCCTTCAGATTCATCACGGGTGGCTTCTCTGTGTTCAGATTCATCACAGATGAGTTTAAGAGAGTTTCAGAAGTCAGACTCATTTTATAAATAATGAATCTACCCAACCCGCTCCGTACTCGTATCATATTTCATAAATCAACTGAGTTACGATTTGTGCGTTGCGGACGATTCTTATTACGGGCAACCAAACAACGACGACTGCGAGGTGAAATTACTCACAAAATTATTTACATATTTTGTTATAGGGAAATTATTTGAGAAATTCATTCTAATTTTTTTTTTCAGGTCAAATTTATCAAATTTATTGTCGAATTCGACGAGCAAACAGTGGCATGTTCAATCAGTATACACATTCCATCACCGGCGATAATTATTCAACTCCCACTAATCTGGTAAATAAATCCTTCATCCTTCATCTGTTATCTAAAAATGTTTTCAAACGAGTCGATCAACTGTTTCAACTTTTTGTTCTTCAAGAATAGTGTAAATCATTCATCTGTTATGTATAAATGAATTCGGAGAAGTTGAAATCAGTTCGTAAATGGTTTATCAGAATTTGGTATGTCGTATTTTCCATTTCAGATCGGTTGTTATTTGAAATTATGAACGGGTGTTTGAACCTTTCTCTTACTCAAGCATGGCAGTGCCACTATAGGCAGCGACCCGAACCCCGTGTCGCCCCGGGCGGCCGGTCGACCACTCCGGTCTTCCACCTCCTTCCGGTTTTGTCTTCCACTTTCCATTCCCTGAATGGTTTGAACCACCGACCCCTGAACTTTGACCCACCGGCTTTTTACTCATATTTAATTTCAATTAATCATTACCACAAACTGCATTTGTTTTGACAAACAAATATATCAACATGTAAGACACATTGTTAAACATTGAATGTTAACTGAATTTTTTAAACATTGTTAACTGAATATTAAACTTGTGTTTTTTTAATCAGATTTTTTTTTTACATTGTTAACAACCAATACTAATTTTTTTTTTATCTGATTGTTAATTAAAAAAATTACTATTTCTTTCCTACTATTTAAACACAATGTAACTGAATTGAGGCTTTGAGAGCAAAGACACCCAATGTTAACTGAATTTTGAGGCTTTGAGAGCAAAGACACACCCCTAGCGCTGGCACACACGGTTAAATATCAGGGATAGCTATTGTTGCATTACCATTTAGACATATATATGTCTATATTTATTTTATTATATGGTAAATAAGACTATAGAAAATATAGTAAAGTTTTTAATTTTTATAGCATTTCATTTTTTATTAATAATTTATCATTCATATGAATATGAATTAAAAATAATAATAATGTTATCTTTTTTACATCAAAATATTTTTTATTTTGATCTTATTAAAAGATAAGTCAATATACTTATGTTAAAATTAATTATATTTTTTCATAATTTTTCAACATATTAGAATATTTATGTATGTATTTTAATTTTTTATTATTTTGAGTCATATTTTAATTTATAGAAATAAATAAATAAAATGTTCATACCATACTTTTGTTTTGATCGAGTTCATACCATACTTTACCCTCCTTTTCTTTCTAGTGGTTGAAATTACATTTTATAGAATTAAAAAAAAACGGTTTAGCGAAATTTTTTTTATGCAAAATTTTTTTTGATAAAACAAAAAAATGTTTTTTCCATGACTACTTGCAAGGGGTCGTTTGGGACACAGGAAAAAAAGTTGGTTTTGGGTTTATAAAAGTCGAATTTTTTTTTTTTATTTGTGGTTATATTTCTGCTATCTGAATGTTTTTTTTTTGGTGATTATATTTCTGCTATTTAAATTCAATTAATCTGCTACGTACTTTTTTCCTTGAAATAAAATAATCTGTTCTTTTTCCTTTATCTGTGTTCTCCTTCAAATCATTTTG